CCAGGGTGGACTGCAGTGGTGCAATCTTGGCTCACTGTAACTTCTGTCTCAGTGGTTCAAGTGATTCTACTGCCTCAGCCTCCCAAGTAGCACGCATGGCTAATTTATGTATATTTAGTGCAGACGGGGTTTCGCCATGTTAGCCAGGCTGGTCTCAAACTCCTGACCTCAAGCAATCCACCTGCCTCAACCTCCCAAAATGCTGGGATTACAGGCGTGATCTGACGCTCACAGCCTAGAGCTATTTTTTATCAACATGTTGAATCTCTCAAACCACGCTGTAATAATAAAAAGGAAGTAGGCCGGGTGCAGTGGCTCACGCCTATAATCCCAGCACTTTGGGAGGTGGGTGGATCACAAGGTCAAGAGATCGAGACCATCTTGGTCAACAAGGTGAAACCCCGTCTCTACTAAAAATACAAAAATTAGCTGGGCATGGTGGTGCACACCTGCAGTCCCAGCTACTCGGGAGGCTGAGGCAGGAGAATTGCTTGAACACAGGAGGCAGAGGTTGCGGTGAGCCGAGATCATGCCATTGCATTCCAGTGTGGGTAACAACAGCGAAACGCCATCTCAATAAATAAATAAATAAATAGTAAGTTACAAAAGAATATACTATAATATAATCTATAAATTTTAAAACATGCAAAATGATACATATATTTACACACACACACACGGTCAGAGATACATACATAAGGAGTAAAGTATAAAGGAATGCATGAGAATGACAACTATCAAATTAAGGGTAGTGATTATACCAGGAAAGGAGAATACAGAAAGAGTTGGGGTTGGTTTCATCCTAGCTTCAACTATATTGGTAATGTCTTCTTTAGGCTAGGAAAAAGAATATATATGTGTGTGATATTCTTCTTCATATTTCACATAAATGTGAAATACTTCCTAATAATTTTTAAACTGTCATCTATAAGATTTTTCAACAATGAAGAATATGAGAAAAACTTATAAGAAAAAATGTAACTCAGAAATATAAATGCAGCAACAGAAAATATAAAGAGAATTAAATGTGAACATTAGGAAAGCAATTTTAGGTGGCTGTGTAGGGAACTATCAAGATTTTCCAAAGCCTTGAGTCACCATGTTACAAGTCTGAGTACCCTGCTGCAGAGGCCATCTGAAGAAATCTTTAGACCACAGACATGGAACTTCTCTTCTCGACCAAACTGCACAAGCCACCACTAAATCATGCCTGGAGATGCTATATGAAGAAGAAAAATCACCTAGCAAAGCCTTCCTCAAATCCCTGATCCTCAAAATCTGTATCTTTTGGTATAGAAGACAAACAAATAGATTAATACTACTTCAAAATAAAGTCTTTAAATATTATATTTTAGATGTGATATTAAATTAGACCCCTCTGTGAGCTACCAAAACCACAATATTCTTTCCCTTAGGACCCCAGTTTCACTAGGTTATCTACTTCTAAGTACCTTTCATAGTCAGTTCAGTTCATTAGTCAGGCAGCAGTTTGGTGTTGCTGGAAACTGCTTGACTTTCTAACGAACAGAAAAGTAAATCAATATCTATTCCAAAGTGGTGCAGTTGGTGCTACCTTTACACAGAGTACACAATCTCTTAAAAAATGTTACCTCGAGCTGAAGCATACAAGCTTCTAAAACCAGAAATTAAACCAAGAAATGACTGTATGAGACAAGTAGTTCCACCAAGGTGCCAGTATTCTGTGAGACAAACCAATGAAATTTGAGAAACACTTTAAAAGTGCAAACATATAATTCAAGGAGAAGATGAATAGGTTCATAAAAAAATTAAGTTAACACAGACTCAAACAACAAGTGAAGGCAAAGGAGACTGAGGAGCTGATACCCAAACTTGTGAAGGAGAAACTGATGAAGAGCCTCAGACTTAATTGCTATTATGACTTACTAAATCATTCTTTGATTATCTCCTGTGGTTAAAAATGAAAACCAACCTGGACTGAAGAAAGCATATTGAATGCCAAAATGTTTGAAATCCCACTTCATTCAAATAGTGACCACCAGGGTTATGGAGAAAGAAAAGTTATTGGTTTCCACAGAAGCAGAGTCATCAGAGGTCATGGTAGTTAAGAAGTAATACCTTCATCTTGTCTCCAGGATTTAGTGCCATTTTCATAAGTAGGAGGCTGTGAGGGTAGGAAGTTTGAAGATTTTTGCATATGCTAGATAAGATTATTAAACAGTTTAAATTCTCCAAGCCTAAGAGAATTTCTGCTTCCTTATTGTCCGCTCTTTATCAAAAATAAAAAGTGAATTTATCATCTGTTGGATGCCAGCACTGTTCTTTTTTTCTCCTGTTCTGTTTCAGAGACAGTAATGCAGTCAATTTGGGAAGGGAAAAAACCTATCTTCAAAAAGTACAAAATGTATTTGAAATAGCAAGTCCTCCTTTACCCCACCCCCAAACAAAACAATTAGTCTATAGCTGTTGTCATACTACTCTGGGATAGTTTCAGATGGCTTCAAGGTAGCTGTTGTTAAACTAGGACAAGGCAGAGTGTCCAGACATCCCAGTGTGCCTGGGACTATTCCAATTTTAGCCTTGAAAGCCACATATACTCTGAATCTTCAGAGCATATGGGGTCCTAATTTTTGCCAATGAACGCATAAGATTCTGGGAAGTACAAAACTCTAAGCTAGACAAAAATTTAGGGGCCAAAACCAACACTGTTTTTAGTGTCAAATGGATATGGCACAGATTGTTTATCACTTTCCATAACTGTAGTCATTGTTTTTTTGTTTTTTTTTTGAGATGGAGTTTCACTGTTGTCACCCAGACTGGAGTGCAATGACACGATCTCAGCTCACCACAACCTCCGCCTCCTGGGTTCAAGCGATTCTCCTGCCTCAGCTTCCCGATTACCTGGGACTACAGGCAGGAACCACCATGCCCAGCTAATTTTTTTGTATTTTTAATAGAGACAGGGTTTCACCTTGTTGACCAGGATGGTCTCAATCTCTTGACCTTGTGATCCACCTGCCTCGACCTCTCAAGGTGCTGGAATTATAGGCATGAGCCACCGCACCCGGCCCATTGTTTTTTTCATCTGATGACAGCAACCAACATTTGCAGTTCACAAAAATGGAGATCCATTGTTGCATCATTCTAAGTAATATGACTTAAATATACAACTTAAAGTTTGTTGTAACTGTGAGCATTAACAGTTTGTGACCTAATGGATTAATTGGTACTTTGTATCAAGATACTGTTTCATTTTTAATACTGTGAATAGTATGACCATATTTTCTAAGAGTTTAAGTAATGAAAATGAGAGTATGACCCAGACATCATTAAATGAAAGAAAAAACAAAAGAAAAGTTTCTAACATTCTTCCTTTTTCCATACTTATGCTTGCCAGATTTTAGAAATTCCTGAATCCATTCCCGATCAACTAAAAGCTAATTAAGGCCAGGCGCAGTCACTCACACCTGTAAACCCAGAACTTTGGGAGGCTGAAGTGAGTGGATCACTTGAGGTCAGGAGTTCAAGAACAGCCTAGCCAACATGGGGAAACCCCATCTCTACTAAAAATACAAAAAAAATAGGTCAGGTGTGGTGATGTGCACCTGTAATTCCAGCTATTAGGAAGGTAAATTGCTTAAACCCGGAAGGCGGAGGTTACAGTGAGCCCATGAGCCAAGATGGTGCTACTGCACTCCAAGTCTGGGTGACAGAGCTCAGATTCCATCTCAAAAAACAAAAAGAGAAACAAAAAATTAAACTGTTTAATTAATGACTGTTTCTGTTGCTATTTATATCTTTGAACGAAATTACCAATTAAGTTGCCCATTTCATTTGTCTTTCTTTAGCTTCTCAAATTGTCCAAAACTTCGAAAATTTGTAAGAATTGTCATTTAAAATACTATATGATTGTTGAGAAATACTATCAATTGAAAGAATGAAAAAAAAAATACCAGGTAGGTATGGGAGAGAAAATATGGCTGTATAGATTAAAGATAGCTGCAAATTCTTTTCTATTCTTCCCTATTGAAGGGTGGAATCTACTTCCTCTCCCCTTAGTCAGGGCTGGCTCTGTGTTCTTTTGGCCAATACAACACAGAAGAGGTAACACTGTAAATTTCTGAAGTTGGGCCTCAAGAGATTTGTGGCTTTCTGTTTTTGCCTTCTTAAAAGTGCTGTTTCATCAATGCATGACACTTCTCCGTAATAACTTACTATTTTTCCTTCTCTTGTTCAGTGACCCCTTCCTTTGGGGAGAGGTACAGGAAAAAAGAGATAAGAGTAAGAATAGGGAAGCAAATTGATGAGGAAGAGGGGAGAAGGAAAGAGGAAGGAAATGCTGAAGAAAGCTATTAAATCGGGTCCCAGGCTACAGTTTGACTTCCCCACTAACTCAACAACCCTTCCATACCTCAAGTTCCTCAAATATTCAACATACTTTTTAAATAGCAACAGGAATAATCAACTTATTAAAATCTAGACATACGAAGTATGTTATTTCATTCTCTTTCCTCTCTCATTACAACACTGGTCAAAATCAGCTAATGTCTAGAAAAAAAGTAGTGAAGGAAAAACAATGCAAACTAAAATTCAAATAAAAGAGAAGACAAGCAAGGAAAGGAAGTTCTTTTTCTTTTCTCTATCTGCTAAGAAAAGAAATATCGACTAACATGGAATGCTTATTATATGCCTGGAATTGCTTTAAGTAATATATATTTCCTCAATCCTCATGGCAATCTTATAAGGTAACTACAATTATTATTTCTTAGCTACAATTACTATCTTTGTTTTACAGCTGAGAAAACAGAGAGGTTAAGTTATCTATCTAAGATCCTACAGCTAACAAGTAGTAGAGCCAGATGTAGAACCTCAGCATTCTGACTTTTGAGTTCATATTCTCAAAGCATTTCTAGTGAAAAAAATCACTTTCTTTTTCCCTTCCTTTCTTTCCTTCCTCTTTTCCTATCTTTTTTCTTCTTCCCTCCCTCCTTCCCTCCCCCTCTCTCTTTCTTTCTTTCCAGCTCTGTCACCCAGGCTGAAGTGCAATGTCATGAACTGTAGCCTCAACCTCCTGGGCTACAACAACAAGCAATCCTCCTACCTCGGCCTCCTGAGTTGCTGGGACTACAGGTACATGCTGTGACATCTGGCTAATTTTTGTATTTTTCTGTAGAGATGGGGCCTCGCTATGTTGCCAAGACTGGTTTTGAACTCCTAGGCTCAAGTGATCCTACTGCCCTGGCCTCCCAAACTGTTATCTCAGCATAACAGGCATGACCCACTCACTGCACTTTGCTTGAAAATCACTTTCATTCCAAGTGAAGTTCTACTTTACTATTTCCAGTTAGTACATGAAATCATACGATAAACAGAATTTATTTATCACTTTAACTGGGATAAAATCAGAAATTAAAGATACTTAAGTAAGGGGTAAATAAAGAATTAACATCATGATGTAGTTTCCAAAAGTAATGGAATCAAAAGAAAAACAGGTGGATTCCCCTAAGCAGGCAGAAACTAAAATCCCTGTTCATTTTTCATGGAATGCCAATCATTTGGGAGAAACTGTGCTTTAGTTCAACACACAGTGTGAGGTATTTATCGCCAGTAAAACTGGCAAATGATTTGGTTCTGCATTGAGTTTACATATAACATAAAAGACTGGCTAAGGGGAAAGGGAAAACACTTTTCATCTGGAGATAGAAGCATGTTTGCAGATATCTGTAGAGAACACTGCAAGCAACAGTTTAGCATCACTCTTTTCAACCTAATAGATAATGGTCCATAAAGGAAGACAGACTATGAAAAGAAAAACAAACTAAAGTACTAATATATGTATATTAGAAAGACAGAAAAAAGTTATTTCAGGAAAAATGGGAGAAAACATGGGTGAAGGAATTCACTTGGTGAAAACTAGGTATGAACAAGTGTAGTACAAAAATGAAGAAATGTATGAGAGAGTAAGTAACTTGTTAGAGCCGCCAGAGAGAAAAGAGAAGGTAGAATATTAAAAGTAAGTTTATAAGAACAAGCTAGCTACCATTAATCACCTTTGTCCTATAGTCCACTCGTCTCCTAACTGGATAATCTTTTGCCCCTCTGAAGCTCTCTCCATGTAGCAGTTAATGATCTTTTTTTAGGGGGTAGTGGGGTAGGCAACAGGGTCTCATTCTGTCTCCCAGGTGGGAATGCAGTGGCAGGATCAGGGCTCACTGCAGCCTTGCCCTTCTGGGCTCAAGCAATCTTCCCATATCATTTTTTATTTTTTTTGTACAGACAAGGTCTCACTACACTGCCCAAGCTGGTCTCAAACTCCTGGGCTCAAGCAATTCTCTCACCTAGGCCTCCCAAAGTGCTGGGATTACAGGCGTGAGCCACCATGCCTGGCTGCTGACCTTTTCTGAAATAAATTTGATGTCACCGGCAGTATTATCTTGCAGTGCTCTCCTTGCTGACAGTATATTGTCCTCCCTTAAGTTCCCCAAACATGCCGTGCTTCCCTATTTTATTCTCTCTGCTTGGAAAGCACTGCCTCTCCACCTTCTGTTTTCTAATACACCCTTCAAACCACCCTGATTCATATCTCATGATTTCAGGTTAAGTGTCCTTTATCCAAAATGCTTAAAACTAGAAGAAATGTTTTAGGTTTCAGATTTCTTTTTTATTTTGGAATATCTGAAAATTAAATTATCCCACTGAGCATCCCAAATCCAACAATTTGAAGTGAGGCAATGAGCACTTCTTAGGTGGGTCATGTTGGCACTCAAAAAGTTTCAAATTTTAGAGCATTTCAGATTTCTGTATTTGGGATGTTCAACTTTTATCAACAATTCACCACTGTTGTACTTGCCAATTGTAATTTTACATTTAAGAGTATGATTATTTTATTTATTTATTTATTTATTTTACTTTCCTCACTAGACTGGACAGTCTATGAAAAAAACTGGTTTCTTCTCCCTCACCATTGCGCGCTTCAGTGCAGTGCCATGGCTACAACATAGTAGGTGCTCGATAAGTATCTGTTGACTGAATACATGAATACGAGGAGCAACCTGCCAAAACTGACTATCATAAGTGGACAGAGCAACCAATAATGCATAGAAGTGAAAGAAACAAGTCAGAGGGAAGAGGAGAGTAAAAAAACTGAACACAAGTTGTGGCCTAATGAAATCCATACAATTTTAATGTGCTTTGTACAAATAAAATAAGGCAGCCAGTAGGTCTCCTTTTCCCTAGAGAAGCTACAAAAAGATATGGAATTAGAATCCCAGTAGTTATAAAGACGTAAAACATACTTCAGAGCAAAAATGTCAAACAGGCATCTCAAATTTAGTATGACCAGTGTCATTAAGTTCCTTCTCATTCTTGTCAGTCTACTCTATCTCAGTAAATGGCAGTACCACCAACACCTCAAGCTAAACAAAACCTTTTGATTTCTCTTATTCTAATACTCAGTCTACAATTCATCAAGTCCTGTAAGCTCTACATCCAAACGTATCCTCACCTATCAACTTCTCTTCCCCAGTCTCCACTAACATCATCCATTTGAAGCCCCTATCACTTCTACCTTGACTACTACAATATTATCCTAATTTATTGTCTTGCTTTTAATTTTGTCCCTTTTCAATTCATTCCACAGAGAGTAGCCAAAGTGATTTTTTAAAAAAAAGATAAACCATATAATTACACCCTCTTGCCCCAAACTCTTCAATGGCTTCCCACTGCTGAGAATGACATAAAAATTATTCATGATCCTGACTGGAAGATCTCTTGCCTCTCATATCACTCTCTTCCTTGCTTTCTGAGTTTTTCTGGTTCATTTCGTATTAATAGGTACCTGTCAAGAGGCTGAGAGGGTGCAGCTGTGTTACAGGTAGTGCTATGTGTGAAAAAAAATTTCAGCCATTTTTTTCATTTTAGCCTTTCTGTTGATCAAATGGAACCATATATTACCTCTGAATCTTTACCCGTAACCCCTCTGCCATTTTACATTAAATAAAGGCAGAGTCCTTGACTATCTTATGCACTGTACCGTGGTACACTGCCTAGTAGAGTAGAATGCTATAAATGTGATGAGCGAATGAAAACCTAGTTTAGTTTTTCAAGGAGTCAATTGGAAAGTAAAGAAAGTATAATATGTAGGTGTTTTTGTTTTTTGAGATGGAGTTCCACTCGTTACCCAGGCTGGAGTGCAATGGCACGATCTCGGCTCACCGCAACCTCTGCCTCCCGGTTCAGACAATTCTCCTGCCTCAGCCTCCTGAGTAGCTGGGATTACACGCGCCTATGTAGGTGTTTTAATACTAAATCCTAGGAGCCTGTTATGGGGAAATATTTTGAACAGTTACAAATCTGATAATACAAAATGTACGGCAAATAATGGTGCAATATTTTATTATTATTATTATTACCTACGTAGTTTCGCTCACCGTCCAGGCTGGAGTGTAATCGCGTGATCTCGGCTCACTGCAATCTCTGCCTCCCCCTCCCGGGTTCAAGCGATTCTCAGCCTCCCGAGTAGCTGGGACTACAGGCGCGAGCCGACACACCTGGCTAATTACCGTATTTTTAGTAGAGACTGGGTTTCACCACGTTGGCCAGGCTGGTCTCAAACCCTGACCTCAAGTTATCCGTCCATCTCAATCTCCCAAAGTGTTGGGATTTCAGGCATGAGTCAATACGCCTGGCCAGAATATTTTATTATTATTGTTAAAAGTGTAAGAAACCAAAAGAATCATGGAAAATTAAGCAGAAAGCATAAGTTGTACTAAACATTAGTTTATTTGCAAATATTCAATATAGTATATGAAAATTGGTTATGAAGTTATGAGGAACTGAAGTTGTTGTTCCTTTGCCTTATGCTTTTTTGGGGAGAGAATCTCATTCTGTCGCCCAGGCTGTAGTGCAGTGGCGCCATCACTGCAACCTCTGCCTCCCCGTACCTCCCGGGTTCAAGCGAGTCTCCTGCTTCAGCCTAGGCAGTAGCTGGGACTAGAAGAGCACGTCAACTATACTTGGCTTATTTTTGTATTTTTAGTAGAGAGGGGTTTCGCCATGTTGGCCAGCCTGGTCTCAAACTCCTCAAGTGATCCGCCTGCCTGCCTCAGCCTCCCAAAGTGCTGGGATTACAGGCGTGCGCCAGCGCACCCAGACCATTTAATGGTTATGCTCTAAACAAGTTACCATTTGCTTGCTGTATGAAAAAGCTGACGACATGGTGAAACTCGCACCTGTACATTCAAAGATCCTTGGATTAGGATAAATTAAAAGCAGTAGTTTGAAACTCACATTAACTCTACATCTCTGGCTTTACTTGTGCTTTTTTATCCTCCCTATGTTCATCCAATTAGAATTTTAACTCCATCAGAAGCCTACAGAAGCTGGAAATCTAGGAGAGCACAAAAGTATAATCATCTGCATACTGAATATAGTAAGCACGAGGAAGCCATCTTTTGTTTCCAATTTCAAAACAAAAACAAAACACATAGCACTACCTGTAACACAGCTGCACCCTCTCAGCCTCTTGACAGGTACCTATTAATACGAAATGAACCCAGAAAAACTCAGAAGCTTTTCTTACTAGGAAATCTCCTGTAAAGCTCTCATCACTTTTAGATAAAGGCTGGCTGGTACGGTAAAGATTTTTTTTTCACTTCGCTATACTCAAGTAAGAAGAAATTAAGAAAAATTACCTCTATTATCCATTACTCTTTCACTAGACTAATATTGAGTACCTATTGTATTCCAGGCACTGTTAAAGAGGCTGTAACAAAAGCAGTACCAAGGCATTCCCATTCCTCAACACCCTCCTATAGTACCTGTTACCCTAGGGGTTTTCTTAATTTTAAGTTAAATTGTTCTTTGTTAATTCAGTAATGTTTCTGAAACATACTAAAAAAGGTGATATTTTAAGGCTTAGGACATATTGCAATGAAAACCATCTTTGCAAAATTATCCAAAGAGCAGTTAATTCTTTTTAACAAAAAGAATCAATCTCTGAGCAGCAGAGACTCATTTTGCTAAACATAAAGTCAGTCACCAATGTAAACACTGAACCCGTTGTCAAATGAAGTAATATAAACACTTCTTGGTCCACGTTACAATAACATTTAGCTCTATTTTGGGGGTCCTTAAATATAGGCCGAAAAATCAATATTGCGCCCCATTACCACCATCCCCAACAAAAACATATTTTTGTTTTTCTTGAGACTGGCTTAGTCTACTCAAAGCAAACGTTTAACTTTCCTCACGAGTGAATAAACACTAAAATTCTGTCAATAAGCTTTTGTTACAGCCCCCAAATTGACACTGTAAACCTTACTCTTTTCCCAGATAAATTATTTTTATAGATTATTTTTATAAAAACACATTCTGAAAGATTATCAGACAAGGCCAGGCCTAATCTGGAGGTCGGTTGCAAAAGGAAGCCTGAAACTGAGAAAGAAACCAGAGGATATGAAACACACCTCAATGAAACTGTCTGTCCCCTCCCTATTTAGACTGGTCCCCAGTTGCACCCAGCCTTAGCAATTTGAAACTTCATGAACACCAAACAAGATGTGAACACAGGCTACCGTCATCCTTAGGCCACCACCCCAAAATTTTTTCAAACGTCAAAGACTTAAGCGCTCACTCTTAAAGGACGCCCACCAACTGTGGCTCGCAGCTCAATCCACCCCCGCCCCCTGAGCCGAACCGGCTCGCAGAGGAGCCACTCGCCTGGGCCGACTCGAACCTGGCGCGCTCGCGGCACATCCCTCTCCGTCATCGCTCATCCCTCGTACTTCACCGCCCCCCACCCCCCGAACCCACCCAGCGCAGATAACGGAATATCCGGGGTTCTGGGGGCTACGTTTTCCTATATACCCTCACTCCTCCCCGCAAGGGCAGAAATAGACGTACCTTCCAGAAAAGTAATCTCCCCGGCGCTGACGCCGCTCTTGCCGGCCGCCATCTTCCTCCTCCCACGCCGCCTCCTTCTTAATCCATGGCCCACACCGCCGCCGTGCTCGCCGGGATGAGGGGCCGCGCCGGAGGAGGGTAGCCGCCGCAGGGTTGCGGGCCTCGGGCTCAGCCGTCAGGCGGGCGGCGCTCCCACGTTCAGACGGGCCTACACAAAAGCAGGCCAGGCGCGCCCCGGCCTGTCCGCGGGCTGGCGGGCGGCGAGGCCCGCGGCCCGAGCTTCTCCTCAGGCCCCTCCGGGGGAACGCGAGCGGCGACGTCGACGGCGGCGCTTCCCGGGCCCGGTTCCTCTCGGCCCGCGACTCCCCATCCACCGCCCACCCAGACTGCCTAAGAAACCTCCCCTAGCAGTGGGTTCCCAAGAAATTAGGATGAAGGCGAGCACACAAACACGTCTCCCTTCGTCCCAGGCCGTAAAATGGCCGCACTCGCCGCGCCGGAGCGGCGAGGTCGCTGCGACCGTCAGGCGCCTCCAGGCCCCTCGCTCCTTCTGCAGCCGCCGCCGCTACGGCCGTCCGCCCACCCCGCCCAGGCGTGAATGCATCAGCGGAGGCCTTTACGGCTGTCCATGTGGACAGGGGTGGGTCTCCTCTGCCACCGCCTCGCGTCGGTCGCCACAGCAGCTTTAGCTGCCGCCGCTGCCGCTCCTCCCCCACGGGCGCTGGAGCTGCCGCCCGGCTCCCGCCCCCGCCCCGACGCTGCCGCCCCCAGCGCGGCTCCCCCTCAGCATCCCGGGCTCGGCTTGCGGGCAGAGCTGGCTGCGGCGCCGTACCGAGCCCTGACTTGTGGGCGCCCGCTGCTGGGGCTCTAGGCAGGGTCGGCCTTTCACAGCACTGGCTCGGCCTAGGCAAGTCAGGTCCAGAATCCCCACCGCCCAGGGCCCCATGGCAAACCTGGAGTGTGCGCTTCTGCGGGCGGTGATGGGTTTGCTCCTCGGGTACCGCAGATGCTTAAGAAATGTGAAAATGTCATTGCTCGAGAAGGCCTTAGAATTTAAAGCACAGCCAACTGAAGAGAAAAGATAGTGAGGTACTGGAATCACATGTGTAGTAAATGATTTGTAGTCTACATTTATTTTTAAAGACGTTTCCAAAATAATTTATCAGGGAATATCCTACCAGTCAGCTTTAAATGGCAGTGTGAAAAAAAAAAAATAATAATCCCTTGTCATTTATGTGTCTAAGACTTCAAAAACCATAACTTCCAAGTCAGGTCTTTTTTTTTTTTAACTTCTTTTAAAAAAAATTTTTTTTTCATGTTATAAAAATAACGTTCTCATTCAAGGAAATAAGCACAGAAAATGATTGTTTCACCACTGAAACTCAACTCCTTTAGGTTTGTAGTCCTCTCATAGCATTTTTTTTTTGTCTTTCAGTATCTTTCTTTTAAAAACAAAAACGAACAAAAATCTATGCTAAATATCAGTGAAAACTCAACAGCAATTAAAATGATGCAAAAAATCGATAAGATGAAGTGCAGTCTTTGGGGAATGGACTGTTCTAATTCAGTTGTCCTATTAACGAAGGCCTAAGCAGAAAACCTTGTTTTTTTAAAACGTCTTTTAAAATCTTTTCCTAATGTGAACCAATAATCTTTCCTGATTAGCAAGAGTAGTGTAATGAATATAAATTTGTTATAATTTATTTTTGCTGCCTAAGGTTATTGTGTGATCCTGTTATGCTGTTCTATGACATCGTCTGTGCCAATGACGGTATAATACTGAGATGTGTAGGTAATAGGTAGATGTGGGTAAGTGGCCATTTGTGCAGACTTCAAAATGTAGTTTTGAAAAATGTGGCCTGGCATAGTGGCTCATGCCTGTAATCCAAACACTTTGGAGGCCAAGGCGGGCGGATCACCTGAGGGCGGGAGTTCAAGACCTGCCTGACCAACATAGTGAAACCCCGTCTCAAAATACATAAAAATAAAAAATCTTTCAGGCCAGGCACATGGCTCATGCCTGTAATCTTAGCACTTTGGGAGGCCTAGGTGGGCAGTTCACAAGGTCAGGAGTTCTAGACCAGCCTGGCCAATGTGGTGAAACCCCATCTAAAAACCTTGCACTAAAAATAAAAAATTAACCTTGCATGATGGCAGCTGCCTGTAGTCCCAGCTACTTGGGAGGCTGAGGCAGGAGAATCTCTTGAATCCAGGAGGTGGAGTTTGCATTGAGACGAGCTGGCGCCACTGCACTCTGGCCTGTGCAACAGAGCAAGACTCTGTCTCAAAAAAAAAAAAAAAGAAAAGAAAAGAAAATGGTGGAAGGTTCCAGGAGTCAAGGAATGTGTGTGGCCTCTGGAAGCTGGAACGGCAAGGAAATCAATTCTCAGGAGTCTCCAAAAAGGAAAACTGACACCTTGACTTTAGCCCAATCAGAAAGATATTGGACTTTGGACTATACAGAACTATGAGAATAAATGTGTATTAAATTGCTAAACTAGTGGTAATTACCCTGTGCTAGAGCAGTATATGGAATGGGAAACAAGATAGCGTGTATAGAAGATGTCTTTTAAGCAAGCTGAGTTAGATCTTTCAAATGAAGTCTATTTAATTATTAAAATAGAGATGAGGATCTTGATATGTTGCCCAGGCTGGTCCCAAACCCCGGCCTCAAGGAGTCCTCTTTTCCTGACTTTCCACACTGTTGGGATTACAGCCAAGAGCCACGACCACACATGGCTCATTGTTATTTATTTATTCATTCTAGAAAGATAGGGTGTCACTCTGTTGCCCAGGCTGCAGTGCAGGGGTGCAAACACGGCTCACTGCAGCCTCTACCTCCTAGACTCAAGCAATCATCCCATCTCAGCCTCTCAAGTCGCTGGGACTACGGGCAATCACCACCAATCCTGGCTAATTTTTTTGGTTTTTTTGGTATTTTTTTGTAGGAATGGGGTCTTACCATATTGCTCAGACTGACCTTGAACTCCTGGGCTCAAGGGATTCTGCCTCCTGGCTTCTCAAAATGCAGGGGTTACGGGTGCAAGCCAACCACCTGGCCAGTTGTTGTTGTTTTGAGGCAGACTCACTCTGTGAGGCTAGATGCAGTGGTGTGATCTCAGCTCACTGCAACCTCTGTCTCCCAGGTTCAAGTGAATCATTTGCCTTGGTAGCTGGGATTACAGCATGTGTTGATTTTTGGGTTTTTTTGTTTGTTTGTTTTTGAGATGGAGTCTCGCTCCATTGCCCAGGCTAGAGTGCCTCCTGGGTTCAAGCAGTTCTCCTGTCTCAGCCTCCCAAGTAGCTGGGACTACAGGCACCTGCCACCAGGCCTGGCTAATTTTTGTATTTTTAGTAGAGATGGGGTTTCACCCTGTAGGTCAGGCTGGTCTCGAACTCCTGACCTCAGGTGATCCACACTCCTCCCTCGGCCTCCCAAAGTGCTGGGATTATAGGCATGAGCCACTGCTCCTGGCCTGATTTTCGTATTTTTAGTAGAGATGGGGTTATGCCATATGGGCCAGGCTGGTCTCAAACTCCTGACCTCAGGTGATCTGCCCACCTTGGCCTCCCAAAGTGCTGGAATTACAGGCATGAGCCACCACGTCTGGCCTCATTGTTGTATTTTTAAGTGTTATTAATTTCACGCCGCTACTTTCAACAACAGATTTTCAATATAGACAAAACAGCCTTCTATTGGAAGAAGATGCTGTCTAGGACTTTGATGACTAGAGAGAAGTCAATGCCTGGCTTCCATGTTTGAAAGGACAGTGGCCCCTCACTCTCTTGTTAGGGGCTAATGCAGCTGGTGACTCTCAGTTGAAGCCAGTGCTCATTTGCCATTCTGAAAATCTTAGTGCACTTAAGAATTGTGCTAAATCTGCTCTACCTGTACTCTAACAATGGAATAACAAAGCCTGGATGATAGCTTATCTGTTTATAGCATGGCTTATTGAATATTTTAAACACACTGTTGAGACCTACTGCTCAGAGAAAACGATTTCTTTCAAAATATTACTGCTCATTGACAATGCGCCTGGTCATCTGAGAGCTCTCATGGAGATGCACAAGGAGATTAATGTTTTCATGCCTTTAAGTCTTATTATTTTAGAAATACATTTCTTTTAAGTCTTATTATTTAATAAATACATTTCTAAGACTGTAGCTGCTGTCAATAGTGATTCCTCTAATGGATCTGAGCAAAGTAAATTCAAAACCTTCTGGAAAGGTTTCACCATTCTAGACGCTATTAAGAATATTGTGACTCATGGGAGGAAGCTGAAACATCAACATTAACAGGAGTTTGGAAGAAGTTGATTCTAACCTTCATGGATAATTTTGAAGGGTTTAATACTTCAGTGGAGAAAGTAACTGGAGATGTTGTGGAAATAGCAAGAGAACTACAAATAGAAGTGGAGCCTTAAGGTATGACTAAATTGCAGCAATCTCATGATCGAACTCAAATGCATGAGGAGTTGCTTCTTCTAGGTGAGCAAAGAAAATGGTTTCTTAAGATGGAGTCTATTCCGGTAGGGATGCTGTGAACATTGTTGAATGTCAATGAAAGATTTAGACTATTACATCAATTTAGTAAACAAAGAAGTGCAGAGCTTGAGAGAACTGACTCCAATTTTGAAGTTGTACTGTGGGTAAAATATTATCAAACAATGTCATCTGCTACAGAGAAATAGTTCATGAAAGGAAGAGTCAATCTATGCAACAATCTTCATTGTTGTTTTATTTTAAGAAATTACAACAGCCACTCCAACCTTTAGCAACCACTACCCTGATCATTAATCAGCCATTGACATCAAGGAAGACCCTCTGCCAACAAAAGGCTCAAATGATTATTAACATATTTTAGCAAAAAAATATTTTTAAAAATCAATTGTCTATTTTTTTTTCTTTGAGACAGAGTCTTGCTCTGTCACCCAGGCTGGAGTGCAGTGGCGTAATCTTGACTCACTGCAATCTCCATCTCCTGAGTTCAAGCGATTCTCCTGCCTCAGCCTCCTGAATAGCTGGGACTAGAGGCATGTGCCACCATGCTGGCTGATTTCTGTAATTTTAATAGAGATGAGGTTTCTCCATGTTGGCCAGGCTGGTCTCAAACTCCTGACCTCAGGTGATCCGCCCATCTCAGCCTCCCAGTGTGCTGGGATTACAGGTGTGAGCCACTGCGCTTGGCCATTACACATTTAATCAACCATAATATGCTGTAAATATAACTTTTCTATGATCTGGGAAACCAAAAAATGTATGAGTTGCTATATTGTAGTAATCTCTGTATTGCAATGGTATGGAACTGAACCTGCATTATCTCGAGTTATATCTATAATTCAAACATCCCATCTAAACTACTACCACTATGACCATTCTCCCTACCTAATGTAGACTCTGTGCTACATCGTTTCATTTACTCTTTCTTGATTATATGCCCAACTCTCTTGCTTCTTTGCTATTTCCTGGTTTTCCTCTCTTAAAATACTCACCCTGAGTAAGTTCAAATGCCCCATCTTCCCTGTTAGAACATAGAGGGGTAATGAGGGCTGAAGAAAAGTCATCCAATAGATTGGTCCCACTAAGACATCATAGCTGCCATCTTCCTACAAGTTTGTCAAATTGACCTATTTCCAACTGTCCACCACAACGATTTCAAACTTCAGCTGTTTACTCATCACTCAGCAGAATTCCTTGCTTCA